ACTGACGCCTGGTTAACTTGCTTTAGGACGTATTGGTCATTGCGTGTGTGTGGCAATTCACCGATCAAATTAACCGTGTGCTTCGTAATGGACAGCACCACTCATATAGACTTTCCATTGCCGCCTCGAATTTGTTTTGGTATAAAATATGTTGACTCGCCGATTTGTACTTGAAATGACAACTGCTGGGTTTCTTATTTCAGATCTGCCGAGAAATAAACTGACCAAACTGGACAGTAAGCCCGCCTAATGTTCCATCATGCGCAACATCTACTGATACAGTCTTCACTGCTTAATAAATCATACTGCCCTGAAGTATTTTTTATATGAAAAACAAGAGTAGTAGGCTTCGTAATATAGTGCGTAGATCCACTGAAGTTACTTCCAGTGCACAAAAGCCGCGCCTGCGTACTTTGTTAGAATAAACAACTAGCTTTTTGACCTTGGCCAGTCCTGTTCAGGGTCTTATTGGCATTGCAGTCGTCTTGCAAAACTGTTGAAGTATCTTTTCAGTCCCTCTCTCATTTACATGTACTCCCTGCCATTAATGCTGAGCACTCACAATAGTGGCCATGCGAGGTGCAAGCATGTTGTGTGTTCAAGTAATGTTGGCTTTAAATAAAAGATTGAAACAGCAACATGGAGGTGCAGGCTTGCACTTCCTGTGTGCATGCGGGTATGATGCCCATGCGTATGGAAAATACAATGGTACGCACCCTCACACTACTCTACAGGCTAGCGTGCTTGCAGTAAGAATAAATGCTGACTGTATAAAGCTCGTGCAATACATTGTTACTTGTTTCTATGTAGTTTGTATCATGTTGCTGTATAGCGCTGGGCCAAGGGAAAGGAGCGTGGCTGTGACTTTCAGCAGTGTTAGTACTTGCTAACAAAGCTACAGGGCACACGAGGCGTAAACGGCGTGAAATTAGATAAACTACCTGAGACTACATACGACTATATATGCTTAACCACAAAGATAAAGCACAGCGAAACCCAGCGAGTCTCTTCTATTTCACACCGTGTTTTCCTCTTAAAGTTCTCGATCCCTTTCCAATAACATCTTTCCCATTTTGAGGGTCACTCTTGTCTTCTGTGAATGTATTTTCGCTTTTGAGTCCGCGGTCCTCTCTCATCTAAGATTCCCCCCTTTGATATTCTCGTCTTTTTCATGCATTTAACTTTATGACCAATACAGCATATCGCCTAGAAATGAATGTACAGACATGCCTACACATATTCATCTGCGAGAGGCCAGCAGCTGTGACATGATGTGTCATGAGAGTTCGCTCACCCCCTGCTGTGCCGCTCTGTCGTCCGTCTCCAGTCAGATCTCCCATTCTCCTCCTGTGTCGCTTGTAGTATTGCTTGAGGGCCTGCTTCCTTTCCCTAGTAAGCCTCTCAAACTCTGTAAGCAGTAGGTACGTGATGCGTGAAACCGCTACCTATATATGAGCACTCACCATGCATTGACATGCCATACCCAGAAACAGTCCCCTCCCCAAACACACACACACATATGCCCACACACCTGCACTTTATCACTGAACAACATTAGCATACATGATTGCCCTTACTGCTGAAAACAGACAACACTTTTCAGGTCAGATAGCAGCACAGTACCTTCAGCCAGGGTTGTATACTCCTTCTCTTCATCCTCCTCCTCTTCATCATTTCATCCTCCATCTCCTCGTCGCATGCGAGTCAGTCTGCCTGAGTTCAGGAGGCTGGCCAGGGGGAGGCTCCCGGTGGCGATCTCTCTTCGCCTTTATATACGTGTCGTTCGGGACGGTCCGAGGGAGCGGACCCAGGTATGGATCTAAAAGCAGCAAGCGAAAAACCAAACAGCTGAGGTGAGGAACAAGCTGATAGACATGATCAGTCATCGTTTCAATGTTAAAGTCACAGCAAATCTAAAACTAAAAAGAGATTTGTTCTTGGATTTATTTAATGAAACCACCTCTGACAAATGCACGATCCCAATTTAACTGAAAAATTTAATAAAAAATATCAAATAAAATACTATTACATGGATTAATCGTGCAATTACTGAATAATATTCAATAGACTATTATGAATACTCTTAGCATGACATTCACAGTAATCATTGCCCTTGTAATTTTACCCTGCAAAGCATTTTTAGATTTCACCAAATAAGGCACAACTTCACGTTGGACACATAAGAGTAAATATTCTTTCTAATTTCCTATAGCTCTATAATTTATGTGATACAATTATGAATTATTACAAAATGTTAATTATCTTGCTATCTATTACTTACCGGGGCCAGTGCCTTTCAATATTCCATGTGCAAATGGTATGTCTTGTGCGAGGAGGAATCTGCTGCTTCACTAAACGATACAATTGCTACAATTTCTTCAACAAAATCTGGCACCACCACCAGCAATCTTTGTCACTTAAAAAGTGTGTAAAAATGGACTCACTTTACGGGCACTTGCCTTTCAAAATAGCACTACGACTAGTAATTGCTTGCCGTACTAGTGCCGCTACACTGCTAGTAAGGGTTTACTAACGAAGACTCGCATCTTAGCCATAAATCAGTGGCAGGGGATGACACTGTCATTATCGAGTGCATAGATAAACAGTGCCCAAATTAATCACTGCATTGGACCACTCGTGACTGGGTGAGCTTACTGTATGATTTTAAAAAAAAGTCCAAAATATATACGTAAAACTAAACCCATAGGCATGCCTGGCATATCGGGGCAGTGAATTCTTCTAATTGAAACTCTCTGCTGCATTGCTGACAACATCCTGCCTAACATGTATGCCAAAACAGGTCGCGTATTATTAGGATTTATTACTGATCTACCGATTACTTATTTACCAATGTATCCATTCGTCCCACCATGTCAGGTGATGCACTACAGATCATCTACACCATGCTACCTCAAGTCATGGCAATAGTAATTAATCTTAAACGTTTTAGGATACCGATATTAACTGGCCTTAATTACTTAATTTAAATGTCAGTTATCAAGTATAATGTTGCTGCTTATGTGCAGATCTATTTGATTTCTTGCCACTCACAAAGTAGTTTCATCAGTTCTTGTCTCTTATTTGTTGTAGTCCGTTTGCCCACTATGCTTGAAATAAACAACAGAGGGATAATTCCTATCCAGTGTACATAAATATAATCCGACATAGCAGAACAAGAAACGTATATGCTAGCTTATCAAACAGAATAAGATACACACAACATTATTTTTAATTCAAATAAGTCCATATCTATTACTCGCTATCCGACTAAAAGACCTCATTAATACTTCAACTAAATACAGAACACAATAAAAAGATTGACCCATCTTGGAAACTATACTATGAAATGTTTGCGCTAGCTTACGTGCAATTATCATAAGCTCACTTAAATAACAAAATTATTGGTAAGCAAGCAGTCTTACAGTAAGAACTGTGACGATATAAGATGCGTACCTTACTTGTCATCATCAATACATCTCTGGATCTTCCTTTTCCTGCAAGCACACGAATATATCAGCCACTATTCTAAACAGAGTGAGCAACAACTAGTTGGCTTTTATGCAAGGGTGCTATTTAAGTAGTCATGAAATCATTTGTAAAATTACTAACATAGAGCTCGCATGACCAGGGCGAAACA